TCTTTTATTTTCGGTAACATTAACGCTATGTCATAAAAACTTTCTTATCATTAAGTGCATTGACGATTTATTCACTTTTAATATCAAAACAAATAATACCTTGGATAATATACTCCTATTTTCTATTGCATTTTTAGACTATGTATAAATATGATTCCAATCAATTAAAACAATACTTATTAGTCTGTATAATTAAATTGAAAAACGAACACAGAAATTTTCTAAGCAAATGAACGATAAACCATACGTCCGTTGAGTGGCATTAATGGTCGGAAATTTCTAGTAATATATCCATTAGTTGTTTTGTCAGTTTTACATGTATATTTCAATTGATGTAATTGACCCAGCTAATAAGATAGATTATAATTGCTTAGAACAAAAAAGAATTTGTTTTTTTGTTCGTACATACTTGACGTTTTGAAATACCCATTCTATCTCGAAAAACTACCCAACGTACACTTTCATAACACATTGGGGTTGTTAATGAACCATCGTATGTATAATAATTTTGCATTTTCTCTATAATTATTCTTAAAAATTAGATTTAAAATTAAAAAAAAATATATTTTACTAGGCATTAAATTTCTCAATGAAACAATATTATGATCAAGATTTCTTTTTTCTCCTTTATGTGAAATCTTTGATAAATGATCAAATAATTTACCAATATCTGAATTATCACTTGGTATAATCTAGAATTTCCTTATTAAAAAAAAAAACTACACATTTTTTTTCCTAATACAAACTTTTATTAAAATAGCAAATACCAGTAAACCACCAAATTGTTCAGATGCCATAGCTTCTTGTGGAGTTCTATATTGATTTGTATTCCATGTCACAATATGTAACTATATACATATATATGATATATTATATAAAACAAAGAGATATTTGTTTTAATTACTTCAGCCGGTAGACGAACACCATCGATGACATGTTCTGAACCTTCATTATCATTTGCTCCCCAATGCATATGAAATTGTAAAAATTGATATTCATCAAGTACAGGACCTCCGGTGATATCTATCAATAAATATTTATTTTAAATACGAACTAATTGATAAATACTTACAACTATAACCTTGACCGGATACTTGAAATGAATGACCAGTATTTTCAAGTGTTTGACAACAATTTTCATCAGTCTCAAATATAAAGGGATGTCGAGCAAGTACAGGTTCATATTCACATAGATCAGTATAGATTTGTATTGGAGATTGAAATTTTTTACGTTGTAATTGAGGAAATATTCGAGACCACATATTGGGTCCTGTTTAAATTGAACATATTAGTTAACATAAGTATTCATCTCTATTATGCAAAGAATTTATCATATAAATAAAGAGAAATTTTTCGTTTCTATTATCTCCTTATTAATTTGAACAGAGAATACTATCTTATATATCGATCGATAATTGACAAGAATGTATTTTTCATATTGTCAAATATATTAAAGTTTTCTAATTTGATTTATAATTCCATCATTGATAGATCAACGTCCATTAGAATATTTGATGGTTTTTGGATGTTACATCAAAATAACTCAATTAACTGTTATGAACTTTTTTTTTTCGTTAATGTGAATCATCGTTACATTTATTTTGTAAGAGTTTTACTACAATTCAAGTGAAATAAAAAATTTTAATTAACAATTTAGATTCATATTGTAAAGGCTTATGTACATAGATATGTATCGCTTGAAATATAATAATAATATTCATTACAATTATTTAGAAAAAAAAGATAAAGTCAATAAAATTAAAAGAAAACCATTGTGGCTTCAGATTTCGAAAACAAATGAATTTTTGTCTTAATATTTAATCACGTATAATAATATATTGAGAATAGTAAATAATGTTATCAAAAAAAAAGAAAAAGAATATAAAGATTCAATTATGACGTTTAAATTTAATTAGAACATCTTTCTTAATTTACAAAATATTTTATCTTGATAAGCATAGCAAACAAGATGTTCTTGATAAGAAGATACAAAGATAAGTAATTCTATTAGTTTTAGAAAATATATTTTTAAGATACAAAAATAGATAAAAATTAGTTAGTGAAAACATTTTTTTAAAGTTAGAACAAAGAATCTTCTTACCATATAACATTGAATAATCCCAATATGGTGGTTGTGATAATTTCAATTTTTCCTCTGCTTTAGTTTTTTTATTATGATTATTCTGTCGATAAGTAACAGATGCTGATCGTACAGGTGTTTTTTTCTTTGCTCGACGGATTTCAATTTCAATACCACCCATTTCAACTAATATCGACGAAAATNTTTTTCCTCTGCTTTAGTTTTTTTATTATGATTATTCTGTCGATAAGTAACAGATGCTGATCGTACAGGTGTTTTTTTCTTTGCTCGACGGATTTCAATTTCAATACCATCCATTTCAACTAATATCGACGAAAATGCAGTTGATTCTGTTTGATCCTATATGATATTTTCGACATTTTGTTTTTTCATTATTTAAAATAACTTACGGGTGTTGTTAACTGTTTTAAATTAATAGCAATTCGATCATCACCTGATCCAATGACTATAGATGATTTATCTTTGTCAACTATTGTTGTCATATTCACTTAAATGAATTCTTGTATAAAATCATCGATAAATCTTGAGTTTTATAGTCATCTTCTTTTGCAAATAAAAAAAAAAAAATAATTTCTTTAACTCTATATTATCACCGAGCTTTTTTTTTCTGTAATGCGTATGTGTGGTAATTCTTTATATTGTTCGAAAAGATAAAAAGCATCATAACAAGCAAACTTCCTGCGCTCTTAAACAACTGATTAATTTATTTAGATGATAGAAAAGAAAAAAAAGAATTCTGATTATGGAGTTCATAGGCATGAACAGTATTGTATATATTGAGATAGACAAGATTTATTTACGACCATCTAAATAAAGCATAAACAAAAAAGATTAATTGTCTTGGCATTTTTTTTTTCTCTCAAGCTGTGTTTGATATAAATACTATAATAATTAGAATCATAATCTTTGATTTTTATTATTTCATTGAATACTGTTTTTCTGTTTTAAATGAATATGAATTTTTTTTTTTTAAGTTTAACATGTTTCTTTTATTTTCTCATGTGATCAAGGAACAGAACAAATATAATTGTTGTCAATCATATATTGTATTATTTTTGTTATGAAATGTAACTAAAAAACAAAAGAAAAAAAAAGAGAAAAGAAATATTGTTAACAACAACCAATATTTTTCATTTACACTAGTGACTTGTTCCTTTTCTTCTATGAACGAAATGGGATTATTGATGTGAGGGTAATGTGCATAGGTATTGTCATCGGCAATCAGTCGACAACCACATCACTAAACAGACATACACATCAACAGGTAGAAATATGAAAGACATATACAATTGTAATTTTATTTCAGTGGTCGATTTCTTTAGATTATTAACTGACAAAAGATCAACAATGTCAAAAGACAATCTGTTGTCCGCTCGATGTGAAAATTTATCTGCTGATCATCGAAACAGTTAGTTTATTTCTTGAATATTTATATGAAATCGTCTATGATTATTTTCTAGTGCATGAAAAAAGACGTTGCCAATCTCAACTTAGTGCACATGAAAATTTACGATCGGCTCCACTACAAACGCCACGGCCAGCATGTAATATTAAATTTTTATATTGTTTTCTATATTTTTATTTGATTTCTATTATTATAGTAACGGCTTATTGTGCACATTGTAAACTTCCATTATTAATTGATGTTAATACGCACGAATCAACAACTAAATCTCGTGCATCGGTGCGATAAAAATTGAAAACTAATGCTTATTTAACTGTTATTTCTTTCAATATTTAGACTTCACGTAATAGTCAACGTGTATGCCAAAAATGTACGGAAGATAAAGTCACAAATGTTCGTACTCCATCAAGTCGTTTGTTTAAATCAGCTTCTATTGATTGGACAAATGTAGGTGATAAAATTGGTAAGATTTTCTGAGAAATTTCTTTTTCTCTATTTATTTATTATGACTTTCTAGAAAATTGGTTTGATACGGCACGTACACCAGGTATATAATTATATTCAGTTAGAAAGTTATGTTTATCCGATTTTTTGCAAAAAGGAAGGAGAATCATTGTGTTAGTATAGTTTAAGAAACGTTAAAAAAATGTATCGGAATCTTAAAAAAAAGACCTTCTTTTTATATTAGAAAAATAGTATTTCTCTGTCTATCTGACAAGTACAGAAGATCTACTCTTTTTAATTTGTAGTTGAAATTATTAATAAATTTTTCACATGAATGTTTCGAATTGTTTCACACTTTTTGATTTTAAATCTAATGACAATAGGAAAAAAAATCATCTCTTCAAGGTTTCTTCTCTCAATTGATTTAATATGTATGACAATCTATTCTACTACACAGATTTCGCATTCAACAGTTCCAATAAGTTTATAAAGGACATACAAGGTGTGTATACTGGATCGTCAATAATTTTCTATAACATTAACAAAATGAATTTCAGTTATTCATTTCTTTTCTATTGAAGTTACGTTTTAAAGGTCAAATTTTGTTTTTTGGAAAATAAAAAGATTTGTATAGTTCACACAGTCTTTCGATGGTTACTTAATTAAAAAATTATTGTTTGTTCACCTGATTGAGCACTTAGCAGTACTTACAAAAAAAAACAGTGCATCAAATTTTTTAAACTCATTTAATATAAACCTTAATTAATAATCAAATACAGGCTTTATATGATTTAATAATCGTCATAAGCTACTATATATTTTCTATTTATTTTACCAAAATAATCATAAAAGTTGACTTCTTCTAAATAAATTGCGTCAAATTAAACAGTAACAGAGTAGTATCTTATGATAGTTACTGAAGATAGACACGATACATAATTTGATCGATGAAAAAGTATTTATATATGTGCTAGGCAAAATTGAACTTTAGGTGAAATAAAACATAGCATTTGTTATTTATTAGGTGCAAAACTACGAAATAATATTGTTTTATTTTAAAATGAATATTAATTTTCGTTTGAATAAAATAAACATAGCATGTATTTGTTTTTTTTTTTTGTAACTGGACAGAGTATTAATTTTCGCCTATTCATATGGTAATGTATGCATCAATGACTTCTGTGTCGACATCAAAAAATGATTTTTGAAAGTATTTTTTTATAAATAAGTGTATCAATACTTTCTGGGTAAGAAAAAAAAATGATAGAATACTAACCTCCTATCAACAATCGTCTCTAGTCATTTCGTATAAGCTATTATAGAAAAGTATTGCCGTTGATGATGATCATGTAAAAAATAATCAAATAGAATGATCGATCGGCTTCGTCTAGTTATTTTTATTAATATGATCGAAGTGTTGACACGTACAACTAAATAAGTTATGATATTGGATAAATAAATAGACACAATAATATCTTTTATATAGTTTTTTTCTCATAATTACCTTATTTTCAATTTTAAGCTTTATGTAGACATGATTTTATGGCAAGTATTAGCACTCTATTTTGTTTCTTTATCATTCATGTTCTCTTTGCTAGTGGTTCTTGTATTTTTTTCTCTCTTGTTTCTATTCTATATGTCGTTCAACTTGTAGATCTTGTCACTATCATGCTACTTGTTAATATGATTTAAGAGCTATTCGAAGGGGGAAGTGTATGGCAAAAAAAAATAATTAAATTAAGTTAGAACAGAATCTTTTTTTTTTCTGTTACAAGTATGAGTAATTGATTTTATGTTTGACACATTTTTTTCTATATTCATATAGATCAACGGGTTGTTTACAATTTCTTGGAAAAAATTAATAATAATGAGCAAGAAAAAGAATCAGACAGAACACTTGATTCAGCACAAGGAAAAAGTCTCGATGATATATTAAATAATTTAAAAAAGTAATTTAAACAAAGATGTCTTTTTGTTGCTACTTTTTCAAGATTTTTACATAGATATCGAGCACGATTTAATTCATCTCGTTCTCAAAAAAACTTTCAACGTTCATTTGAATCAACAAGTTGGCGTGTTATGCGGCATCCATCAGCAACACCTCGACAATTCAGCCGTTATAATGCTGTTTATGGTGATGATGCTTCACGAGATTTTCGTATTGGAACAGTTTTTGCAACAACTGAACCAAGAATCGGTTCAACCTTTTTATTACATCCTGGTTGGGTTTAAAAGAATGAAAAAAATTATATGAACTTTTTTTTCGAACAATATATACACAAATCAACATTTTATAAAATAATTACTATATATAATTTTTTTTAAAGTAAAGGACAGATTCGCGTGAGGAGCTAAATCGGCTCACTATGAATTTTTGAATAAAAGACTATCCAGTCGTAGGTAAGGCATGAGAGATAATCGTTTGATAAAGATTTCATGTGAAATGGAAAAGATTTAAAATGTTTATTGATCACAACATGCTGCTCATAATACCCAAAACAAAATGAATTTTTCTCATTGCTGAAATCAACTTATTTGATTCTATTTAACCAGATGACTCAAGGTGATGTACTTATCATTAGAAAAAGTTCATCAAATTACACAAATTTACAATTGAACCATCGAACTGTTGCAATTCTTGGAGAACTTTTCTCTTTCAACTTTCAAGAATATCATGTTATACATTACGTCCATATATTGTAGACATTGACAATATAGTTGAATTTGTTCTCTTATTATCTGTTTAAAACATATTCGTTTATAAACCATTCTATAGCCGTTTTAATACTCTACAAAGTGTTAAAAATGTCATAAGCTAGGAAGCTGAACAGGAATACTGAAAGCGCTTGCAATGCAGTAATGTAACTAACAAATAATTATTATCATTATATTGACAGTAGTTGCAATCTGACATCATTCTTATTACTTATTATTATAATCTTTGGAAGTATTATCTATTGTCTTATGTAGCTCTTTGATGTTTTCATTTGAAGCAGTCTATCACAAAAGAATGTATATCTCAATATCAAATGCAAACTGCCTACCAACAGTGATATTATGAACGTCTTGTGAATTTAATGGAAGAAACAGACACTGTTAAGCATCATACTCCTTTCATTGAATTAGCTTATTTTCTTCTAAATTCTGAATACACCGTGGTAGTTCATTGTTCGAGTAAAGTAATTTAATCATTTCTGTCGCTATGTTCACATCAATTGAAATGTCTCTCACAGATAAACATTGATATCTGTTGACTAACGAGAGGAATTCTGCAATTCGTAAGTGTTCAAAAGAAATTGCATACTTTGAGC